GATACAGTTGGTTGCTCTGATCAACAAAGCTTCTTTGACCTTGCGGGAAAGATATTGTTGTTCCCGCGTGGCGCCTTTCATTTTGTCCCATGAGATGTTGTGTTGATGGGTCACAGCATGTTCCACAATGACAGAATTTTTCTCACATTCTGCTTTTACAACCCCAGGGTCTTTCGTCTGTTTCCGACCTCGGCCGACTTGCTGTTGACTCCTTTCTCTAGCATCAGCGTTCTTCCACCTGATCAAATTCCTCTTGTGATCTGTCTTCCTTTCTTCAACCGTGTTATCCGTTTCACCTAGGTAAACCGCACCACAGGAGCATGGGAGTTGGTACACCCAACCAGCTTGTTGCTCCTTAGGTTTCTGGGTCTTGAGGTGGCTAGGCGACTACGTAGAGTAGCAACAGTTTGAATATCAGGCTGAGTCCTGAAGCAGATCCAATACGTCGCAGCTTTTCACTCAGTTTGCGAACGTATGGCAAGGTGATGTAGGTCTTGTGATATCAGGTGAGCTGATAGACGACCTTTGTTTAGACAACCTCCTCAAGCCTTCTTTAAAGGTCTTCATCGGGTAGCCGTTCTTTTTCAGCGACATCTGATGTGATTTAATTTTTGGCGGAGATCATCATCAGTTATACATATCTTCCGGCCTCTTTGGAGAAGCGTATTGACGATACCTTTCTGTACGCAATCTGGATGATTAGAAGAGTGATGTAGATATTATCAGTAGGCGTCTTCTTGCGAAACACCGAGGTCAAATATCCCTTCTCTTGGTGTCTTACTTGCACATCCAGGAAAGGTAGGATACCGTTTTCTTCTTTCTCCATAGTGAAAACAATGAGTCTTGTGAATAGGCTGTTTAGATGTTTCAAGAACGGTGTTTCAATTCCATTTTTACAGAGGGCAAATATGTCATCAACATACCTTTTGAAAAAGGTTGAATAGGCATCTTTATCACCCGTAGTGAAGGCCAAGGGTTCTAGATGTTCCATAAATATATCAGCTAGACCAGGGGACAGAGGCGATCCCATAGGGATTCCTTTGTACTGATGATATAATTGGCCATTGAACTGAAAGTAATTGAAGCCGATGAGACAGATCTTGAGTAGCTTGAGAATCGAGGTTAGCGAGAAAGGTGTTTTGTTTTTAAGGTCCAGGTGTTTCGTCAGTTGTTCTTCGACCAGATCGATTACAATATCGACAGGGATGCTGGTGAAGAGATCCTTTACGTCGTAGCTCACCATGATTTCATCGTTCTCGTTCAATCGTGGGACAATCTCTTGGACGAACT